TAAGATTGATTTAGAATTAGAAATGTTGTTTAAAGTGGAAGAATTTGAGGCGGAATTCTCGAAATCGGAAGAATACCACCAAAAAGTGGTTCGCACGAAAATTCGCGCCACTGAAAGAATAAATGAACAAAAACAAAAGTTTACTAATTCTGCTAGTGTAAACGACACATCTTCTCTTGATTCTGAAAGTGTTTGTGAATTTAAATCTAATGATTATTTAAGAGTCAAACTACCAAAAATGACTATTAATAAATTTTATGGTGATGTAAACAATTGGTTAACATTTTGGAATAGTTACGAATCTGCTATTCACAACAATAAGTGTTTAGATAAAGTAGAAAAATTCCATTAAAGCACATTTATCGGATACTGCCCTTAGTTCTACTGAAGGTTTACCTATATCTGATACTACTTACGATACTGCTATTGATTTATTAAAAAACAGATTTGCTAAGACTGATTTGTTGATACACACACACATGAACAATATTCTCAACATTAAACCATTAAGAAATTCAAATGATGTGTTTGCTTTTAGAAACTTTTATGATAAAATAAATATTGAAGTAAGAAGTTTAGAAAATTTGGGTCAATCAATAAAAAATTTATCTAGTGTATTGTGTACTACGATATTAAAATTCCTTCCCAGAGACATTTTAATTCAAATAGATAAAGCCACAAACGAAAGTGCTTATAATGATGTAACCACATTGCTCACTTTTCTTTCTGATATTTTGCATATATAAGAAAGAGCGGAAATAATTAAAAATAACACCAATGAATTAGTAGTCAATCAGCCGCTCCCTTTTCCGAAATTTGAGACGAATCGCAGACACAGTAACTCTGTCGGGTTTCGAAAACAAAATACCAGCAAAAGAGTTTTGATAAAAAAGAAAACATATTTTCGACTTCTGAATTAATACCCACAAACATAAAAGATAAAACTTTTTTTTTTCTTTCTGTGAGAATAATAAAGGGGATATTTTTTATGATTCAAAAGATTGTTCTTTCGCGATGACTTCAAGTAATGAAGAAAAGGTTTCGTTGTTAAAGAAAAAGGGAATTAGTTTTCGATGTTTACAAAATCATGTATACGTAGCTTCGAAATGTGTTTCAAAAGTTGCATGCAGTTATTGTGGGTTCAGACATGTATCGATTATGTGTTATAAAATAAAAAAATGCCGATGATAAAACCGAAACTCAAGATAGCGAAAAAGTACTTTAAAATCAAATTAAATATTCTCCAGTATTTTTACAGACTCTTATCGTGGGGGTAAAAGGAGGTGATTTAGAGGGCTATTGTCGTTTACTGATCGATACTGGTAGTCAAAATCTCCCAGTATGCCGCAAAAAGGTTAAAATTAAAGATAAATTCCGAAGTTGTTAAGCATGGACTGTTTGGAGGTGTAGAGAAATCAGAACTACATAATCGTTATCGATTGAACATTAGTAGTTTTGAGGGAAATTTTAGTCTCGATATTGAGATCCTAGATGAGAAGAAAATCTGCTCTTCTGTCCCAAGGGTTCAATTTAATTGGTCTCTTAAGAAATAAAGGGATAATTCTAAGCGACATTCAGGAAAATGAAAACCGATGTTTGTTCCAAGATAGCCAGGATGAAATTCATATACTTTTGGGGGCAGATAATGTTGCACAACTGTTCACTGAAAGAATAGATATTGGAATCCCAAATATTGGCATAGCAGCATTTGAGAGTAAGATAGGCTGGACATTAATGGGGAAAAGAAGTGACACTGATATTTCGGATAGCACATTTTCAGGCCTCTCCTTATCTTTACATATTTCTGACACAAAATTGTCGGAATTATGGCGTTTAGACACTGTATCCGCACGGATTTGTAGCGCCACCTAGTATAACTTGTAACACTTAGAGAGAGAGAGAGTGTGTGTGGAAGGAGAGCTGTAACGAGCTACAAAAAAGCTCTCTTCCAAATAATAAATAAACATTGTGCATAATTATACAGTCCACTATTTCTGTTTATTGAGCGAGCTCATATTTACCTGAGCGTCGACATGAGTGGTCCGCTCACCAGGAGATTCGTGCCTTCCCATTCAAAGTAGGATTGTTCTGATTTTTTATAAAATACTTTAATTTACAATGTTTAAGGATTGTAAAAAAGATGATTTAAGGCTTATTGCCTGTGAACTAGATCTAGAGATTAGTGATAATATGACTGTGGTAAACTTAATTGATGTAATTAAAAGTTATGAAAAGTATAAAACTGACTCTGAAACTGTTAGTGATCTTGTAAATTTAATAGTAGAAGAGCGCAAGTCAGAAGAGTCAAAACAATTAAAGTTAGAGAATTTAAAGCTCGAGAGAGCGAAACCTGAACTAGAAATTGCACGTATTCGTGCTGAGCCAAAGGAGCTCGAGAGAACAAAAACTGAATTAGAAATTGCACGCATTCGTTCTGAGCCAAAAGAGAATAATATAGAGCTAATTGAATCTAATAATTCCCTAGATTCTTCGATTAAGAGCATTAGAACATTAACCATTAAAGTGCCGAGTAAACCCGAAAATTGGGATTCTTTTTTACATCGTTAGAACGAGCATTTATAGTTAAGTGTGTGCCAGATAAATATAAATCTGAGATTCTTCATAATCTGCTTGGTGAAAGATCGTCTAATATTATCACATATATAAGTGATGATGATCTTAATAATTATGAAAAAGTGAAAGAAACAGTACTTAGAGAATTTCAGCCAACGGCTCAATCTTGTCTGGACAATTTCAAAACAACCACGCAACAGTTAAATGAAACGCACGTTCAGTTTGCGTCACGTTTAACAATTAGTTGGGAGTTCTATTTAAAATTAAGAAATGTGACAGATTTCAAAACATTAAATCAGCTAATAATTTCTGATAAACTCTTCCAAACATTGGACAGGGAAACCGCTACTTATATAAGTGTAAAACAATCGGACACCTGGTTTGAACCAATTAAACTAGGAAAGGAAATAGATTTATTTATGACATCTCGCGGAAAATCTTTAACTAAGAGCTCTTATAATAAAAGTCATAATGAAAGAAATACTTCTAAAACCTTTTTGTCTGAT